TAAAACAAGAATAATGCAAGAAAGACGATACTGTGCTGACACTGGGAATGGTTTAGTATTGGCTTTTTTTGGTGACATTTGGCATTTTGTGCACTGAGAGGATTGGGGAAAACAGGAGATAATATAACAGGCATCTACAGCAAATGTTGTGCAAAAGGAGATGGAACTAAAGAGAAGAGCCAAAGAGAAGAAATTCAGGAAGGAGAAAAAAGAAGAATGAAGGACACAATCTTTAAAATCCATAACTATGTATGAATAAGCTGTAAACTAAGAAAGAAACACACTTGGCTTACGGATTGAATTTTTTTGCCTGTTTTGAAAGTTTACCAGTGGATTTAAACCAGTTGACATTGCTCTGTGTCTTCAAGTCTGTTGTTTCTCTGTTGGTCAATGAAGAGAGTAAATGAAAAACCAACAGCTAAGAGAAATCTCTGCTCTTCCAAGACACTTTTTGCTGCTGGAAATTCTTATTTTTTTTCCTTTTCTTTCTCTTTTTTTTTTTTTAAGTCTCTTTTCCCCCAGTTCATCAGATACCTAAATGGGTAGAATGAATACAGAATCTTGGTCAAAGGTATTACAGTATAAAGCAAATTTCTAATAGTTCTTTTCCTGCAATTTTATGAACACAGTAGAAGCTATGTGTGTTCTTTTTTTCCTGTGACGGTCACACAAATGCAGGTGACTTAATAGCCATGGACACACTGACTCTTGCCTGAAAAAGAAGTTGAAAAACAAAAAAACTCTGCAAAGTTACATACATTTAATACTGTACTTAGCCTTTTCTGTGTATAAACATATTTCATAGCCTTACAGTATATAGTTGTTGTCCATGAGCTGAATTAGGTCTTGACAGTTCAAGGTTTTTTTATCATTGAAATCTGACATAAAAATCTTGTCTTTTCATTTAGCAAACAAGTTGGTATTTTTTGAAAAATTTAATTTTAGGAGAATCTTCTAAAATAAACTTATATGTATCGAACTAGAACTTCTGTTGCTAAGCAGTGTGCTAACATATAAGAGTAGCCAAATGCAATGTATGTCAACTGAGGGAAACGCTGTCAAGTCATGGAAATCAGGCTTTTATTTTACTGGAAATTAAAAAAAAAAAAACAACAACTACAAACCAAAGAAGACTTGCCATTCCCAAAGAAAGCAGTAAATATTAAAAGAATTCAGTTTAATTCAAATGAAGGCTATAGATCAGATCATTGTGTTGATATCAAGTTATTTATGGTACAAGAGTGAATATGAAATGAATTTGATAGTAATTGATCTTGTACTGTAATGTATTGACAACATGCAATGTGATATCTGCCTTCCAGAATTTAAATGCTTTCTTATTGCTCTAAAACTAATTACTCTACTTCCTACTTTTTTATTAATATGAAGAGCTGAACTTTCTGACCTTGCTCTCCTGTTTTGAGCAACTCATTTGGTTTCACTGCCATTTCCTCCAAACTTATCTTCAAGGAATTAAGTCTTCATTAAATGTCTTGCTTCTGAATTATTCATAAAAAATAAGAGTTAATGAGTGACTCCATGTGTAAAAGTTATAACAAGTATGCAGAGTTAAAGTCTAGGTGATAAATCCCCCTACCTTGGGCCATTTTACTTGCTCTGTGTTCTTTAATCTGTGTCCCTTTGCTCTATTGCCTTTATTCCACAGCTCTGAATAGTTTCCAGTAGTTTCTTTGAAAAGTCATCAAACCACATAGATATGATTTATTGTATAAACTTTGGAACTTATAAGGCATTTAGACATTAATACAGTGTTCATTTCTATCCCAGTATTTTCATGATATTATTACCTCAGGCTTTTGGTGCTTGTTGGCATAGCAAACTGTTGTAGGTATTACTCACAGCTTTTGGGTGTTCCTCTGTTCAGATCTGCTTTAAGGGCTGGCTGCAAGTAGTAGTCATATAAATATCTCTCAAATACCACTTTCACAGAGAAATAGAAAAAACCCCACAATAGTATCAGTCAGAAGTGTAAAGAAAAGCAGTCACGTTATACAAAATCATTTAATGGTTAGACTTTCATACTAGACATAGCAGGTGTTATTTCAGACAACAGTTTCAAGGGAGATGTAGGAATATTGTGTGCAATATGGAAAAAAAATCAATTTTGTCAAGCTTAGAGTCACAGTATTTCTGATCTTGGCAACTTAATTTGAATAGACAGTGAGTGATGTTCCATATCACAAGCCTGATCAAATCCTGATTTCTAAGAGTAAGATGTAATAATGCATCTCAGTATTTCTGGAGGGAAAAGAAGAATTATGGTGACATGTAATATCGACGTAGCAGTTCTAGTCTCATTTGGTTCCGTATATTAAAGAATAGTTTTTGTTTAGTTTTTGGTCTTACTAAAGGTTTGTGTATGGAACTAGTTTTATTGACCTTTCTGTGAGTTCAAAGCATTCATGATAGGTAAGTCATGAGAACAGAATGTGCCTGTGACTGACAGCTAATTTGCAATGAGCTTTTCTGGGTCTGTGGCATAATTTCAATAGCAACTGTAATCATTGTGGCTGAAGAGTTTGGATGTGTGTGTGCTTTACTGATTTTTTTTTTTCTTTTTCTTTGTTGATTTAAATATTACTATGGATTTTTTGGGGTGCAAATCTGACCTCAATTTTACTACTTTTTGCTGTAGCATTAGTATGCTGATTTCAGAGGAACAGCTCTTATAGCCTGTGGTTATATCACTATATTAGCAGAATAAATGTTTATTTTCTTGCTCCTGAAATTATATTTTCTTCCCAGACAGCGACTAAATCTAAGTGAGTAAAATTGCAGTAACAACTAGAATCCTAACATAATGAAGATTTGCTGGTGTTTTGATACTAATATTTATTAGGCCAATTTTACAAGGTTTGATTATTCTTACAACTAAGAACCATCTTCCCTTTCCTTCCCTTTTTTTTAAAGGCATAGCAGCATAGTTGGTAAGTATTAAGTATTGCTATTTCTAAAATGAAATTAGTCATCTTTGTTATTTAGTGATAAATAACGAGAGAAAATTAGTTCATTACATAGTTGCTGTATGTCTGAATGTTTTCTTTGGGGAAAAATAATTAAAAAGAAAGGAGAAAGAAAATGCCAGCCAGGGGCTGGCAGAAGCACTACGGGTTTGTTGTGGATTTTTTTTTTTGGGGGTATGAGAAAGTGGATAGGAAAATAATTTTTAATGAGAAAGTAATTTTCTGTTTCCTGACCATGATTTGTACCAGTTGCTGGAGTATAAAATAAGAGTTAAAATTTAAACAAATGGTAAAAGAAGTGAGGTTACTGAGGTGTGGAGTTCTCACCTGTGGCAGTTTGAGCCACATTAGAAATCCAAAATCCACTTTCCAGGCTTCCCCCACCCCTTCCCACAATTTATCACAACACCGAAGAGAAAAAACTTGCAGGCAGAGGCTTCTATAGGGGGAGAGGGGAAGTAATATACATTTATTTACACAAATAAATACTATACAAGCTAAAAGTAATTATATATATATATATTACACTTCTATCAGTCCCTTCAAAGCTTCTCCCTCAATTAGTCCCGGAAAAGCCTTTTCAGGCTGATAGGTATCCAGTCTCTCTCTCGTGGGAGTGTTCGGGGAACCTGAAACACTCCCCCCACCAACCTCCAACTGTTTGCTGAAGTTCTTTCTCCCTCACGAAGTCCAAGATAGTTCTGAGTCCTTTCTCTTTGTGTCTGTGCCATTTCTGCTGTGTGATCTCTCTCATCGTACCTCGGTTCTGTAGGCTGCTGTAGTTCAGTCAGCTTATCATATGTACGTGTCCTGGAACATTGATTCCTCCTCCGAGTTTTCGGATGCCCCCGGTCAAACCTCAGCAGGGCACCCCCCGAGCCTCTCTCTGGCCCGTCTCCAATTTTGCCTGGGTTTTTTCTCCCTGGCACCGAGCTGCACTCAGCCCGTCCACTTAGCTCTGCTCCAATGCTGAGCCTCTCCTCCGCTCACAGTGGGAGGGAAGGAAAAAGCCCCCCTCTACAACTAACTGCAAAAGGAGGGGGGAGAAGAGGGCTTGGCTGCAAGGCCTGCCTCTCTCTCTCTCTCTCGCTTACCAGTTGCTTGTGAGTCGCGTCCGTCACAAACACAGACTCACTCCAATGCTGCCTCCAACCCTGGCTTAGACAAGGCTGTGGGACACAGGGCCCCTCTTCCCCCTGGAGGGGAAAGAAAGAGGCCCTGCCACCCCTTGGCCTTCTCCCACCCTCACACAGCAGACACAGACAGAATTGCCAACAGCTTCTGGTGGTTGTGTGTATGTGATTTTTCAGCAGCAGCGAACAAGACAAGCGGTGATTGGCCCTCCAGGGAACACTGCCCTGGCACCCAATCACCTCTTGGTTGTGGGTGGAAACACCAGATAAAGGTGATATGGTTTGAAGCTGGCTCTGTGCCAAGTCTCCAAACCTCGCCACAAAAACTCCCCCCGCCTCCTGAACCGAGGGAAAAGAAAAAAAAAAAAACAAGAGAACCGAAACGAGGGAGAGACAGCTAAAGCAATATATATAAATATATTTACACTTATATTACAGTTATATACAATGTAAATATATGTACAATTTCAAAAGGAAAAGGGAAGGAGGAAGGGAAAAAAGGAACACAAACAAAATAAAATATGCACAATCAATAGCCCAAGATCTAGAAACTAAAAGAATTAGCAAAAAAATATCTTACTACTCTCCTTGGGACAACAGAAAGTCACACTGGAACGATCACTGGCAACCTCCACCTCCCAAGGTTGACAAGGCCTTACCAGGCCTCGCTCCCCAACACGGCAGACTCAGCAGGGAACCTGCACCTCCAAAGCCACCGGAAGGAAAGAGAGTGAAGGCCTCTCCCCCTTTCTTCTTATACCCTGGCTTACGTAAAAATCGTAGGGAATACTGGGTAAATCTGGGCACTTCCTTGGTTACAAACTGGTCACCAAGGAAGGCCTAGACTAAACTATCACAGCACCTGAGGTTTTAAACTTTTTACCATATCATTAAGCATGTCTCAAAAATATAAAGAGTCTTCATATTTGGAGACCAATAATGTGTGTGACTGTTGGTGCTTTGCTCCCTGGACTTGATTTTCAGGTTTTCTGTAAGGTATTTTTGAGCAGAAGTTCTTTAATCTCCTATTAATGTGACACATTCTAAACTGCAAGATAGTGTTTTACTGTGGTGGTCTTTGTAAATAGGAAATGGGGTGCCAGTAAAGAGCTTCAGGAAGGAAATTTTGTTGCTTAACTAGTAAACCACTGTTCAAGGAGTGCTTCTCTGGAATCATTAACTCAGTTTAATAGGGTATCGGAGCTACAGTTGCAGAAAAGTTTTGTGAAAACTCTATCATTAGGCCCCTCCAAAGACCTGTCAAAAGTGTGGCTTGCAGCAATATCCAAGTATTTGAATTTTTGTGACAAACTGTGACCATTAGTCTGCATTGCACAGAGTGGAATTTGCATAGAGTGGAATACTATGGCACTTGAAAAATAAGTTGCAATTTTCAAAAGACATCACATTTCTTTAGTAGGTGGAAGTGTAGCTGGATTTGACTCAAGACAGAGTTTCAGTGTCTGAGTTTGGTGGAATTGTCTGAGGAAAAAGCTGAAAAAAGCAGCAAAAATGAAACATTTCAGCAGGTGAGTGGGATCATTTTAGAAAGAATTTTATCATTTAGAAAGCATTTTATCATGGAGGATTGAGGACTGTTGGCCCTTTTTAAATATTTTTAAATATAAGACTTTGGATTCCTCAACAAAACCATATTTAATTTTAATTTCTGTTTGTAGTATATGATCTATAGGCCTTGCCCCTGATATGTTTATGGCTGATAACATTTATCAGCTGTAAGAATGAGACATCACATTTTTGAGTTTTAGCATTTTACTTACGTGTATTTGACTTAGAGTGATTGTGCATCTCCTTTCATGGACAAATAAATGTATATCATAAATCAGAGAAAATCAGAAAAAGCATCATCATTGGTGTTGTGCCTTTTATGGCTTTGAGTTTGAGACTCAATTTTCTTCCATTCTTAAATTTTCATGACTCAGATGTAACTTCAGCGTAAAGGCCAAACATGAGCCTCCATAGAATATTTTTGTAGGAACAAAATAGTTACTGTTGTATTTCAATCACATCCATAGCTGTTAAAGTTCATATCATTTGAAAAATTTATGGACAATATATTACAGGGTAGGACTGTAGTGTGATAAGAGAGCACAGGATATTAAAAGAGATTATATATCAAAAAAAAGGGGGAGATTTACTGTACTCAGGAACTACAGCATGGATGTGGAAAAATGAAAATGGAAAATTAGCTTGCAGATAAAAACCTCCAAACAGTTGAAGGTCAAACACTGACAAATTTTGCATTTGAGTGATAGATGGGCCTTTGTCCCGTTCCCCAGTGTTCTCCTGCTCTCTGTGCTTCCTGCACAGTGGCCAGGAAGGCCGAGAGAACTCCCTTAGTCCTCTCCTAAGGCAGCCTGTGGATCCCTTTGTGTCTGGGCCATGGTTAATAGAGGCAGCAGTGCAATATACATTTTTCCTGGCGTTCCTGAAAAGTCAATTTCAGTCTGTTCTCCTATTATGAAATAAAACAGCCGGGCAGGGGGGGATAATCAGCCGTTTTGTCTTTTAGCACCAGCCAGTCTTTTTCACCCTGAATTATGTGTTTCTCTATGTGTAATCGACACCACAGTTCACAGTATCTCTGAATTTGTTCCACTTTGTCATAGATACCTGATACTTCATTGTCCTGTGGTTTTTAGCCTCCTTGTGCAGATGCAATGAATAGGATTTTATCTTTTTTTTTCCTTTGTAAATACTTATTTACTCAAAGCAGATGTTTTGTGACAAATAATTTGAGGATGTAATGTGGAAGAGACATGAAGTAAAGTTCTTGAGAGCAGCATTTTCTGGAGAAAAAAGTAGAGGGATCATGATGAAAAAATAATTCAACAACATTGGTGTCAGCTGGAAAAACAAATATGTTCATTTTGATGAAATTTACTGACAGAAATTTATTTAAGATGACTGTGACATTACAGTGGAGTTTGCAGTATAGTTTATTATACTAATTTGTTTTATGGTAAGATTTCATTAGTTTCTAAACAATCTCTAGATGTAATAAAACAAGGATGAAATATTTGTAGGTAACTCCCGTACTAAAAACGAGTGCTGTGAGGACTATAAGAAATGGCTCTGGATGAAAAGGAACAGGTGGATCAGAAACAGGAGGAAATCTTTCAGAGACCAGTACAAAAGCTCATTCCTTACCCCTCCACCCCAATAGCTTTATAGTGATGAGGAATGTGGTTGGTAAATAAAGAGAAGGAAACACTGTGCCTTACCATGGTGCTGCTAAAGTGGTGTGTGTTAGAACATTTTGTGTTCTTGGATCCCCACCAAGGTATTTCACCTCCCTGTTCCTAAAAATGGGAGTGTGTGGCTGATGCTTCAAGCAGCAAAGTTGTATTTCAACACTGCTGTAGAAAGCAACAGCATAGAATATGTCTTCAACTTATTTTTGCATCTCTCTCCTGTTACCCAACACATAAAATATATAAAAAAACCTGTAGTTAGAAGAACCGAGGCCATAAATGGATACTCCAACACTGTAGACCACCACACCAGGAGCAGAGAATGGAAACAAGAGTCAAATACATTCTCTGAAGGACTGATCTCTACTAGTTCCATCTTATTAATCATAGAGCTACTGCAGCAAAATGTGTGAAATTAGTGGAAATCTTATTAGTATCTACATATTCAATAGTTTACCTCAGCTATTTAAATCTTACTGAGGTTATTTTGGAAAGAAGCCAATAGATTTCTAAAGCTGTGATCAGAAGGTGCACTTCATGGCATTTGGTTGTTTTTTAGCTTTTTCATAGGGAATTTGTGGAATGTAGCTACAAGAAAAAAGATTGTGCTGTTTTTGCTTGTTCGGTTTAGCAACCAATATGTAAGTATGCTGGAAAAAGCTATTTGTTTCAACTTAAGCCACTCTCTGTTCTTTCAAGGAATGCAGGTCATCTTCCTCCTTGGCTTTCTTTTCAGTACCTGCCTCATTTCAGACCTTGTAACCAGATTCCACACAAAATAGCAAAATAAAATGGGAAAGTAAGCCACTTTTCTATCCCCTGGATGAACAGGTTGAATCCCTGAAGTACATGTTCTTATATGTTGTACAGCCTAATTTTAAAACTCGAGCTAATGGGAATCCTTTGGGAGATCTTTTCTTGACCAGCTTTGTATCTCTTATGAATTATTTGCTGATAATCAGTCTCTTGTTTCTTAATGGGATTTTTTTTTAATGAGTGCTTTGTGAATTTTACCCTGGTGAATCACATGAAGTAAGTCCTTTTGTATTCCTTTAAATGGCTGTCATATGATAATTTTAGTTTTGCTTTGTTTAGTGAAAATATGTAGCTCTCTAACTCCAATTTCTTGTATCAGTCTACCCAATTTCCATTTTTTCTTTGGTTTCTTTGTCAGTGTTGAACCCTTTGTGTTTCTGATAGTAAAAAACAAAGTAGCTAATCAGTCCCCTGGTTTTGAACTGATAGTTATGATTTGAAGTAATCTAGAAAGTTTTTATCCATAATAAGTTATGATCCACAATGAAGAAAAAATCAAATGACTATGAGAATATGAATGTGAATTAACAGTGGTTGCAAATGGACTGCTTGAATGAATGCAGTGAATCATATAAAGCGCTTAAAAAACCCCATAGTTCTTTTTTTAAAATAATATTTTATTAATTATTTAATAATTGCTTGGATTCAATTTGTACACAAAGCTGAAATTACACTGAGCTGTGGTAAATTAGAAATATGGAGATAGTAAAAAAGGGATTTATATTTGATTTGGTTAATATTTGATTTATATAGTAAGCAGGAATGCCAGGCACTGTTTATGACTTGAAGGGAAAATATCTGTTTCATATTTTGATATAATCTAAGGAAACCCTCCTTGTTCTGAGTACATAAGAACCCTTCTAAGTTTGGGCCTTGACAACTTGATTGTCTGTGACTCCAGCATATTTGAATTAGAGAACAACAGGAAATTTCATTAGTCTTTTTCATAAATATTTAAAGTAATAACTATAGTCTTAACCCTGCAATTTAAAAAATGTGATTCTCCATAAAAAAGCAAATTAAACCAGTACAAGATTTAAACAACTGATTTCAATGTAAACTGGTTGCTGTCTAACTGAACTTGTAATACTTCCATTTTATGGAAATTGTATCTTTTCATTTGCCACTTTAAAAAACACAATGTGACAAATAGAAAACAAAGTTGTTTTGTTCTAAACACCTTCCATTTTTTTTTATTGTTTCAGTGATTAGCATGCAGATGTTTCTAAATTCCATTTCATGATTTTTAAAGACTGATATTAATTCTTCTGTTGCATATACAGCTGAGACACTAATTTCTGTTTGCATATATCAATTTAGAATTTCATATGTGGTGTCAGGAAAGAAGAACCGTGATCACTGGTGTTTATACTACCTATTAGTTTTAGCAATTGGGAAAACTTTGTTTATGACAAGATGTTAATAATAAAAATCCTTCTGCTTTGAAGAGCGTTTAGCAGTCTATACCTCACATTGAAGGTGTGTGTCATGGATAGAAAAGAGATGAGAGATGAGTTTAATGCCTTTGTTTTCTCCTTGTGGAAAATAAAAGTTGAAAAGGTCATTTGATTTCCAAAACTTAGTCTCCCATGGTTGTATTAATTCCATCTTGAAGGACCTGGAGATACCTATTCTAGAGAGATGTATTCTCCAAGTTGTAAAGCGTTTCCTTGCTCCTTATAGCAAACACAAGTAGATTGGTAAATAAATTTAGCAGTATAAGATCCGTAATAGTAAACCAGCCACAACAAAGTTTGACACAGAACTGAGATGACACATGACTGCCAGGTCTCTCCACAACAGGGAATTTGTTGTGTAAAATTGCAGGTGTTCCATGATCTGAGCACATTGGCGAGACATGCAAATGAAAGTCCCTGAACATATGAAATATTTTGATAATAATCACTTTAGACCTGCAGTGTTAAACCAGCTGGATCAACTACAATCACAAGACGCCTGAATGACATGGCAGCCACGAGGATACCTTATAGAGGAAATGAATTTGCATTCTTCCCTTTTCTGTATCCATTCTCCAGCATTCCCACCTTTTTTCATTTGACTTTGTCCGAAGGCACAGATACAGGTAGTTTATCCCATGCAGTTCATCAGGAGATGCCCTAACACAAAATAATATGGTGCAAAGACAGGCTGTGCAGCTCTCTCTGTAAGTCAGGTGGGGATGCCAAAGCACTCATAGTTCTGTGAGATGATCTGCACCTTCATCACTCACCCCTTTGGATCCCACTGCAATTAATGAGCATGCTGTGTGTGGAATTAAACAGATACTTCTGAATTTGGAGGAGCAAGTGTTTAATGAATTCATTTTCGTTGTTTTTTTCTATTTGTAACGGAATTGCACTGCAATCTTTGGGGTTTTTTCTTATTGTGTTTGTGAAACTTAGTAAGGGCCAACTTAGAACACGTTAGTTTCCGTTGTCTTCTGTCTAAAATCTGTAGATGATGAAGAATTGTGTGTCAGCTTTAGAACTGGTCATACCATGTAAACTTCATTGATATTTTAGGAATATCTGAATTTAGTAGAAGAGCTATTTTGTGATTAATGCTTTAAGTAACTATCCAGAAGACAGCTTCAATTCATCTTTTCCTGTGTGTATGTTTTCTTTTTAATAATGTCTTACATTTTGTTTGTTTTGTTACTGAGTCTAACTTTTTTTTTAAAATATCTGCTTTGATATTTTTTGTTATCCTGAATAAGGAAAGTACATAAACATACCCTTGGCTCCCAAGGCTTCACAACTTAGCTGGTCTGGTTCCTGCATGACTTGCACTGTTAACTGAACAGTGAAGTATTTTTTGTCCCTATGAGGTCTGATGTTGAGAGACTGAATAGAGGAATTCGTAGATGGTTTTTTTCTGAGTAAGCAATACTTATAATTTGTGCATTAATAGCTCTGGCTACTGTTACATACTTTCTGTTGTCTCAAAAGTGAAGCTTGTTCCCAAACTGGAGAGTATTTAGGAATTATCAGTGGTACATACACTTGCTTTTTTTTGAGGTATATGTTTCTTCTCCTGGAAGTCTTCAGGGTGGGTTTTCTTTTTTTTTCATCAGTTTTTATTTCAAAGCTGTAATTTAAGGAGTTAAAGCAGCACAACAACATAGGAGGTACATTCATTACAATTAATGGAATAAGGCTCCAGTTCTGCAAAATCATCTACAGCTTCATCACTGACCCCTTTGGATCCCACTGGAATTAATGAGTTTGCTGTCTGTAGAATTAAACAGGTACTTCTGAGTTTGGAGGAGCAAGTGTTTTATAAATTTTTGTTTTGTTGTTGTTGGGAAAGTTCTCTTCTTGTCTCCAGAAGGAGTCAGAACTTTAAAAGTCAGAAAGTTTAAGGGACTAAACCAGCTTTAGTTTTGGAGCATCAGAACTTACTTTGAGGTTGAGAGAGGGGAACTGTGCTTTTCTAAGAACCTTGTTTGGCAGCCTTAACGTGAGGCTGCATGTGCTGACCTTGTCTCTGAAGTTTTTCCTGTTAGCAAACTTTGTTGTCAGGCTGGGAAATACAAGGGCATGGTTAAAAAAGAAGGAACCTTGTTGACATTTCACTGGAAATTTTTAAAACATCAGAAAACTTCTAATGGGAAGGTTAAATGTTGGCATCGTATTAAAAAAAAAGAAAAAGTAATCTTGAACTAATTTAAAGTCCACAATTAGCTGGGATCACAGGTGGAAAGAAGACGTTTTAATGATAGCCTGGCCCAGGCCTTGAGGTAAATTATGCATAATTATTCATAACTGCTATTTTTGGCTTGCTTGCATTTGTCCTAGACCTCTGCCCAAGGAAACAATTTGAAATAATTAGTGTGTAAGTGCACTGACAATGATGAATGAATCAAATGCATCTGGTGCCAAACACGGATCTTGATAAGAAGCAGATAACTTTGGGAACTGTGGAGTTTTTGTTTTTAAATTTCAGAGACTGGGAACAGTTTGTTCTTTTTTTTTTTCCCTTCTTGTTTTTTTCAGACTGATATGTTCAACATAGAAAATTACCACTCATTGGGCCATGATCAAAGTGCAGCTTGGAATTCTAGCATTGGTAACATGAAACAGGTCTGCACACTGTGTGTGCAACTATTTAGGGCAAAGAAAATGAAGGGGGTGTTAAGGCAAGGAACATTTTGAACACACAGGTCAAAAAAGCCAAAAGTTAATGTTACAACAGCAAAAATGCGTTGCTTACCTTACACAGGTTTCAGATACATTTTATCTAAATATTCAGCAGTGTAGATACAGCTGTGTGTTATTATTTAGGGCAAAGCAAAAGCAGACACAGTAAGATGGTGTTTGGATTCCTGTGTTACAACTCAGTTAAAAATGCCTCTGAAGCCTTCAGGGGTGTTTGTTTCTTTCTCTGGCTTGAATGCTCAGTTTTTCATCTGTGTAATTCACTTTACATGGGTTTAGATGCAGGTGAACATGAGGCTCTTTTTAAATTAGGAGTTTTTAATGAAGAGGGGAAACAACTCATTTCAATTAGAATGCCCTTGTCTTCTGGGCTTCTACACCGAGTTAGCACATTTTTATCTTGTTGGACCAGTGAAAGAAGTGTTTAGTAGTTTTGAATTTGTTCATAAAAAATTGATTAAAACATTGATTAAGGCACTGCTCAGGTCAGTGACTCAATTAATTGAGCTGTGACCAGCAGTCTCTCAATGCAGAGATTATTTAGCATCTACTTATTGCCTTGAAATTATAACATTGGGAGTAAAGTTCTCTGCAACACATGTGGCTGTAAAGAAAGATTTTTCAGGCTGAAAGGCAAGGTATACATTTGATGGAAGAGCTGAGAAGCTGAGACAGCTGAGCTGTTTATTCACTTTCGTCTCTGATTTTCAGGTAAAATTCTTGCAATTGAGGATTTAAATTTTGCAGCTTGTTGGATGCATTGTCTTTTAAAGGAGTTCCTTGGTGACATGCATTTGACCTTAAACTCAAACAGGATGTGTTTAATAGGTCTTCCAATTTTTAGTTAGTCTTTAACCATTTGCTTCTGTATATAATTGTTTTTCTAGTGATTTTCCCAGTGTGAATCCTAATATTGCTCATAAAACTTACAGCTGTTTGGGTAGTACAACTGAACTCTAATGTTCAGTTGAGTTTTGAGATGTAACAAGATGCTTTTGGCAGAATATGGATCTAGAGAAGTTTTTAGCCTATCTAAGCAAAATTCCTGCTCCTAGGAGAAGTTCTGATAATATGTTTACATGATCAGATATTTTTCCTGTTAGTCTCTTCAGTGGCCATGTCCAAATTGCCTAAAATCATGGAAGTTTTTTTGTTTCCTTGCTTGTTCTTTAATCTCACTGGTCTCCGAATCTGCTGCTTGGTCTTAATGTGGGGGGAAGAAGAAGAGAGAAAATATTGTGAGTAACTGTATGTTCAGTCTTTATTTGATCAGTTCAGAAACTTAAAAACCGACAGGGAGCCGAAGAATTAAGTGCTGACTCACTGCACATGCAACCATTCAACTTGTACACTCAGAGGCACAATGTCTAACTAGTAAAGGTCATTTTTACTCAACAGGCATCCTAAGATATATCTAAATAGATCCTGCATTCCACTGTACAAAATCCAGGGGACCCTTGACCCGTGGCCGAAAGCTGGAATACTTTTGGTTGCCCTGTAAAACTGTCTCTCTTCAGAAGTATCTGAATCCAGAGCGGATCTTGCTATTCATCAGGATTTCCCACTCTTCTGGAACACAGAGGTCCTGTGGGAAGGAAGATACATAATCACCTAATTAGGTGGTATCATCATGTGTGTGCACAGTGGAGCAGAGTTACATTTCCATGTCTCAAAGAGCATCCAGTTGGTTGACATCTCAGTGACTTTGTGAAAAATGAGAGGAAATGATGTTATTTTCTGCAATCCTGTCTTTTCAAATATCTGGTGGGGCTGGTTCCTTTTAGTAGGTGTTATGAGCTTTTCAGTGAAGAGTTTTCAGCTCTGGAATCAGCCCACCATTGATTTGTTTTCTACACTCTCAGGATCTTTTGACCTGTAGGGAAAACCCAGATTCTTGACTTATCTCTACTTCCACCAGTACCACTTGATGTTCCATGGAACATGAGGAGAGGGTGGTGTTTTTGGTAGGTGAAGGTGATAGCTGATAGTGCAGTAATTTTTAAATTACAGTGATTGGATCACTGGAAGAATGCCTTTTTTAAAACTGGAAGGAGCAAGATAATGAAAAAATAGGTTGTGAGCTTTTGTAAGTTGTTCAAGCTGTGTATAGTCACAAAGTTTATGTAAGTTTTTTACTTTCTTGAAAGCCTTGCCACATGTTGCAAAATGCTAATGCCAGCTCTGTTCTTCACTCAGCTGTATTTTCTTAAAATGGCTTAAAATGTAATGAAGCTCAGGCTGTTTTGCCAGTGTTACTGAATCATATCTGAGCCATTAAATTCAGTAGCTTGTTCCACAGATTGCCCACAAATGTCCTGTGGCATCTTGCCTTCATAAGCAATGTCATCAGTCTTGTGTCCATTGTCATTTCTTTTGCAGAGTTTCAGAAATTATTCTAGTATGCACTGATTTTCTCATTTCACACTTTTCATCTTCCTTCACTGCCCCCTGAGACCCCAATCCTCTAAAATTTATCTGAGTCTTACCTGTTGGTTTAGGACCCAAAAAGTGTCAGATTGGCATAAAAATCTTACTGGACCCTAAAAAAGTATAAAATGACTTTCTGCAGCCAGCTTCTTATTCCCTAAATGCCTGATGAGGCTCATGTGCATCATGAGTTACATGGAGTGTATTGTACTAGTAAAATATCACTTATCTCAAGACACCCTTATCTTTTTGCTGAATTTGGATGGCATGAAAACACCTTGTGAAAAAGGCTGAAAACCTTTGCTTTTAACGTGTTTTTAGAGATATTCTTGAGCAAATGTACATACCTTCTAAAGCAAATGCTGCTGCCAGCATTACCTCTTTGTCAAGTATGCACTTTGCCCTCAAAAAAGGATTTTTTTCAGAAATTTCAGTTTGTTCTCTTCCTATTAGCTGTGGCTTTGTAACAGTTCAATTCTGCTGTTCTTTGTCCTAGCTCATAAAAAGGAATATTTAGGAGATTTTTGATTGTAGGTAGATGTGTTTCTCAGTGAAGTTCCTCAGTGCACATGTTTATAGCAGGTTTATTTGCTATCCAAAGAGGTGAGTCTTGGTGAATATTTCTCTTTAATTTGTCAATGGGGTCAAAATGATGCAAATATGGATTTCTCAGCTTATGATTAGTAAGACCAATTGATACTGCTGGTAATTAAAGCATGGAAATTGTGTTGGGAATGCCTGCTGTCCTCAGAAATGTATTTGTTAGTAGAAACGTGGCAGATTCCCTTTCCTGGTGTTACAATGTAAGGGCAGAGATCTGTGGAAAAAGAATTAACTGCTGAAAGTATCAAATGTGAACTAATGAGGGGGAATGTTGTTTTCTGGGGGAAAGAAGTGAGTGCTCTCATGCTGAGTAAGAAAAGGTAGAATGTTTGTCAGAGGTTTTTGTGTGTTTTTTGAACTTACCACAACTGATGTTTAGTTCTCGAAGGTTTTTTAATTTACTTTTTAAAATTATTTTCTACATAAAATTAGTGATGCTGCAAGGATTTGGGAGCTTAGAGCTTTATAGGCCTAATTTGCTTCCTGGGAAAAGAACTGAACCCTGAGTTGAGGGAGGATAACTATTTCTCTTTTGTGGCCATTTAGAAAAAATACTGAATTTTCAATGCATTGAAAATAAGAAGCTTACCAGACTTAAGTAACTAAATAATCTAGCCTACAAAGATTCTTCAGTGGTCCTAAAACTAACTGGATTTTTATAGGCCATAGAAATAAGAGTAATTTATTCTTTACCTATAAAATTAGTCTTCCAAAGTCACATCTATATACAGCATTTCACGTGATTTTTGTTTTGGCTCGGGAAAATACTTTGTTGTAAATTGTCATGTAATTTGAACTTATTGAATTTTTTTCTATTATTTTTTACAGTGTCTTAATTTCCCAAAAACCAAAGTGAGAAGGATAATTTCTCTGAAGCAACAGGATCTGGTTCTTTGCAGATGGAAGCATAGTGTAAATAAAAGGTTTCTTTGAGGAGGAGGATATGACAAGGTGTTCTTTGTGGTGGATAAACCTATTTAATGTTACTGTTGAAAGTGTCACACTGTGGACTAAGATAATAGCTACCTCAAAGTTTATTGGGCATCTTTTATGCCTACTAAGAACTGCACAGACATTGAGGATGGTGATGTGTGGGTGGGGTTTTTGGTAGTAGGTTTGGTTTGGGGTTTTTTGTTTTGGTGATGGTTTTTATATGACCTTAAGCATTAGAACCTAATAGTTCATCCAGTATCCCTGCTGTTCATTGCCATCCAGGAGCTCATTTTTTGCTTACCTATCATCAACTGTTACCAGCTGCCTAATCCTGTTGCCTAAAAGCAAAGAAAATTAGCTGGACAATTTTAATATAGTAAGGTTGAGAGAGGTCTTTAGTTATAAAGTTCTATAAGGTGCACAAAATATATAGGCCCAAGCATATAGGATAGCTTTTTCTAAAATAATAATACTAGCTATTATCATATCTAATAGGATACACCCAGCTTGATAATTGTCTGTCCCCAGGACCTTCCTTGGGCCGAATTGGGTGGGTGGTCTTCCACAACCACTGTTTCCTCCCATTCTTTGTCTTCCTCAGGACCTCTGTCCTACTTGGAACAAATTCAAGGATTCTGGGCCTTCTAAATGGCTTTAACTAAAGTTATATCAAGGACTGTGCTGGGAATATCTTCTTCTGGTACACTCTCTACAGACTAGATGTCTTTTAGCTTGCTAAAAAATCTCTATCTATTGAAAACCTTGACGAGAAACATCAAACAATCTTTTAGAATTTGGTACAGAAGTATTTCATTAAAAGCTCTATCCTAAAATTGCTAAAAGATGCTAAAAGCTACGTTAAAATCTATATACTTAGGGATCTTAAGGCATCAATCGCACTGGTTTGCAGTGCAGGGCAGAGCTGGGATGCTGGGAAGGAGAGGACACTGGCAGAGGCATCCAAGTGCTGCTGACAGCCTGATAATTAACATGCAATTATTTGACCGAACTCAACCCCTCTGTGCTGCTGGTGCAGCCCTGGACAACAAAAGTCACACATGTGTCCTTCCTAAGCTTCATTAACTCCTTCAGAAGAGAGAGTGCTGCTTTGGCATATTAATTAGCTACCATGCTTTCTTTTACTCCAAGTTAACCCTTAGTTGATTAAAATTACTGATAATTGCAAGGCTGTTAGAGGTCTCTTTATGCAAAATGTGCTTAAAGGGGCTTTGCTGTCAGGGTGAACAGGCAAATGGTTAATATCATTTGGTTGTGCTTGCCCCACACTTCTCTCCTTAAAAAGAGGAAGAGCAAACAAGTAGAAAAAAAGAAGCAAAGATAAATCCACAGAATACCAAAAGTTACTGCTAAGGAAACCAGTTCTTCTTCACTGGAAAATAAATGGAATAGTGAAAGAGTGGGCTGATACGACATTAACTTAGGGAATATTTTTTCGCCTATTTCCTGCACCATGTTACAATGTATTATGCTCAGAAGTTATCAACTTTCAGAAAGTTCAATACATTTTTAGAATTTTTTACCTGTCTACTGAAAAATTTATTGTACTCCTACAAGAAAAGAGTAAGATTTTGGATTGTTTGAAACTTTTTGACTAAAGTAAAACCAAAAAAAGCACAGGTTAAATTACACTGGATCTTAGGGGTTTTTTTTGTATAAATGTTTAACATTGTGCCATATTTCATATTTTTTTTACAGGTGTAAGACAAAAAACCCCCAAATTTTTTAAAATTATTTTTTATTACAACTTTCTTTTTTTTTTTAGCTTTTTTAGCCAATGAAAGCAAACAATGCTTTCCACAAAATGTTCTTATGACACTTTGCTTCAACTTTACTCCATTATTTCAGTCAAAGAATGGAATTTCTGTATAGAAAATGTCTCCGTTTTCAGAAAATGGTGTCATTAAAGCTGGCTCACTCCATCTGCTTGTACAGAGACATTTGTATTCCAATGTTACAGAAATATCCACTTAAATTTTCTGATTTCTTGTTATTTTAAACCAGGACATCACAGTTATTGTCAACCAGGACATTGATAAAACATGAACTTCTGTTTTGAGAGGTGTTGTATTCTTTTTACTGTGATAATTCACTGTAGAGAGGCAGAGATTTCTCAAATCTATGCTATAGAATAACATCTACCATTCAAAGAGAACACTTTGTATGTGCACAGATGAGTCATTCTTAAATATTCCCATTATGCCTTGCACAATGGAATTGGTCCTTCTCAGTACTTCCACTTTTCATGTAATAAATGTAACAGTAAAAATACTTTTTCCTGAACTCGTCTGCTGCAAAAAAAGTGCTATTATCTCACTTTCAGGAACACTAAAGTTTTGGTTTTTTTCTTTAGGTGACCTACTTTGTAGGGTAGATATTTCTTAGAGGAGTTCTTTTTCCCATAGCCAATCTGCCTGTTTTGTTTTTTGTGTAAATCTCAGTTTCTTTGTCACTTAGTGCATTCTAAATAATATTAATTCTAACTAAATCTTCAATTTTCAGTTAGTGCCATATTTTATGATCATAAAACAGAAATACTAACATGGATCTTAAGTTTTTCTGTGAGACAGATTTTTTTATGCAAATATATATGTAAGTTCATCA